GTCGCACACGTCCGGAGGCTTGAATTTCATCGACCCTGTTCGTAATTCAAAACACGATTAAATGTCCCTCAATTATCTCCCGAACCTACACAGTTGTAAAACAAACATGAAGATTGCCGGTTGTCACACCTTCGCCATCAGCTATCCAGGTCGAATGTGACCACAACAGAAGTAGGGGTGGTAACAATAGTGTGAGCGAGGGTCTATGGTTGACAGGGTGATTTCACAAGTTATTTTCGTGCCCTGAAGGGCGTGTCTGCAATCAGGTAGTATGAGGCTCACGAACTCGCCGAGACAGATGTCTGCCGGTGAGACCAATGAACAGAAGCAAATAGAAGAATACGTACAAAATGAGATCACAGAAACAGGAGACTTGTCTTTGAATGACAATTTCTAACATCCCAGATGAATTAGTCAGAGATGAAAGGAAATACTGAAGACCAGTCTCGTCCAATGGAAACAAGAAGTAAGAGCGACACGCAGTTCGATCAGAAACCTGGATACTACGATGAGCCTAGAGGATTACTTAAGCTGTGCTTTAGTCCTGAGGTGAAATGGAGATTATCATACGTTGTGCAGATAATTATAATGAGAACAACGGTGTGGTGAAAAAGATCGTTTTCCTCATCCTGTCCACACAAAAAATGAAATATGATTGAAAATACAATAAGGGGGAATGACAAACCGTAGTCCTAATGGAGCAACTCTGAAAGCGTATTGGGGTGCGTGAAGTTGATCCCGATGCCGATCTCGTGCAATGGGTCGCCCAAATGTTGGAAATGATAAAGAGGGGTAGGGGAGTTCAGGCGCTTGAACTCGGCAAATCGGATGAGATGCGTCTATCATATTCAGTGGGTGACATGAATGAACGAGATTGTTCCAGTGCTCAAACAAATCGGGTGGTATTCGTGAACGGAATCGGATAAACATTTGTTGATGCGGTCAATGTGCTTATTCCCAAAGGAAGAAGAAGATGAGTGCACACAGATGGCTGCATTGTCAGTGCTTCAGTCGAAAACAAGTAATTGGCTTGCATGTGAATAAAGTTTTTGTTGTGTGACTTTCACTTATTGTCCGCGATAGAATCTATTGAATAAATCCTACCTCCGGATCTCCTTTGAATGGCATCTGGACACATGAGAATGATTTTGGATATGTGCAACATCTTGGATGACGCAATGGCGAACTGGCCAGTCAGTTTACTGAGGTCCGTAAGAGTCACCATTTCCAGATCCGCCAGACACATTTTATATGGTAAAACCGTGAGGAGCCTGGATGTCGAAGGGAATTGTCTGAATTGTCTTGTTGTTTACAGGCATTCAGATCTTTGAAAACAATGATTGCAGGTTGAAGAGTATTCGGTAGACCAGCTTTAATGTGGACATTCCGGTGGATGAGCTGTAACATTCACTAATCATATGCACGTATCACGTCCAGTTACAATTCAATCGCGAAAATTAGCGCCAGTAGGATTGGGTTGCAATAGCGTCACAGTTGAGATTGCGTAGCGATTGTAAAAAGTTCAGTAGCCTCGGTAGGATTCGAACGCAAGCATGGACGCCGCCTACGCTTTGTTCGCTCACAATCTACCAGCTGAGCTACGAGGCCACACCGATCAGTGCCATAAGTGCCATCGGTGCGCCGTCGTGGCTCAGCTGGTAGATTGTGAGCGCACAAAGTGTATGAGGCGTCCATGCGTGGGTTCGAATGCTACCGAGGCTACTGAACTTCTCACAATCGCCAAACAAACTTCAAATCTGTCAAACAACAATTTGAACATTTGAGATTATCGTTTGATCGCATTTTTATCGACAAACTCTTGGCAACGATCCTCACTTGTCTTCAACCAGCCAATG